AATGTCCCGGACCGCTCCCACTAATCACTCCCACTAATGTCCCGGACCGCTCCCACTAATCACTCCCACTAATGTCCCGGACTGCTCCCACTAATCACTCCCACTAATGTCCCGGACCGCTCCCACTAATCACTCCCACTAATGTCCCGGACCGCTCCCACTAATCACTCCCACTAATGTCCCGGACCGCTCCCACTAATCACTCTCACTAATGTCCCGGACCGCTCCCACTAATCACTCTCACTAATGTCCCGGACCGCTCCCACTAATCACTCTCACTAATGTCCCGGACCGCTCCCACTAATCACTCTCACTAATCACTCTCACTTTTATTTCCAGTTACGTTGAATTAGAATATTGCTGAACTGAAAATTGGGGGTCTAACTTACTGAATAGCTAACCTCATCACACGATGTGAATCTAACTATTCAACAGATAGAAACCATAGATGAACATGTTTTTGTCCATATGAGATAAAACTATGTCTCCATTAATGGGGTTTGTTGGAGGCTGTCACCCGACATGACACAGTGGGAGAGGGGGCTTAGTAACTCCACTCAGTGCCCCTCACTTCTCCCCCTTACTTCTCATATTGTACTGCTTCCTTGTCAATTTTTTTTGGAAGATATAAATTAATACACAACCTTTATTCATTTACCTTCAAACTTCGGTGTCTGCAGTTTTCTTTTCACAAATAAATTGAAATGCGATTACTTCTCAGTACTTTTTATAACCTAATGAAGGTTCTAATAGTTTAGCAATGCTAGCAGTTCATTAGCTCAGCAGTTCACAAGCTCAGCAGTCCACTAGCTTAGCAGTTCCCTAGCTCAGCAGTTCCCTAGCTCAGCAGTTCACTAGCTCAGCAGTTCCCTAGCTCAGCAGTTCACTAGCTCAGCAGTTCACTAGCTCAGCAGTTCCCTAGCTTAGCAGTTCACTAGCTCAGCAGTTCCCTAGCTCAGCAGTTCACTAGCTCAGCAGTTCATTAGCTCAGCAGTTCACTAGCTCAGTAGTTCACTAGCTTAGCAGTTCACTAGCTCAGCAGTTCCCTAGCTCAGCAGTTCCCTAGCTCAGCAGTTCACTAGCTCAGCAGTTCACTAGCTCAGCAGTTCACTAGCTCAGCAGTTCACTAGCTCAGCAGTTCCCTAGCTCAGCAGTTCACTAGCTCAGCAGTTCACTAGCTCAGCAGTTCCCTAGCTCAGCAGTTCACTAGCTCAGCAGTTCACTAGCTCAGCAGTTCCCTAGCTCAGCAGTTCACTAGCTCAGCAGTTCACTAGCTCAGCAGTTCACTAGCTCAGCAGTTCACTAGCTCAGCAGTTCCCTAGCTCAGCAGTTCCCTAGCTCAGCAGTTCACTAGCTCAGCAGTTCACTAGCTCAGCAGTTCACTAGCTCAGCAGTTCCCTAGCTCAGCAGTTCCCTAGCTCAGCAGTTCACTAGCTCAGCAGTTCATTAGCTCAGCAGTTCCCTAGCTCAGCAGTTCACTAGCTCAGCAGTTCCCTAGCTCAGTAGTTCACTAGCTCAGTAGTTCACTAGCTCAGCAGTTCACTAGCTCAGCAGTTCACAAGCTCAGTAGTTCACAAGCTCAGTAGTTCACTAGCTCAGCAGTTCACTAGCTCAGCAGTTCACAAGCTCAGTAGTTCACAAGCTCAGTAGTTCACTAGCTCAGCAGTTCACTAGCTCAGCAGTTCACTAGCTCAGCAGTTTACTAGCTCAGCAGTTCCCTAGCTCAGCAGTTCCCTAGCTCAGCAGTTCCCTAGCTCAGCAGTTCCCTAGCTCAGCAGTTCCCTAGCTCAGCAGTTCCCTAGCTCAGCAGTTCGCTAGCTCAGCAGTTCCCTAGCTCAGCAGTTCATTAGCTCAGCAGTTCACTAGCTCAGCAGTTCCCTAGCTCAGCAGTTCACTAGCTCAGCAGTTCCCTAGCTCAGCAGTTCCCTAGCTCAGCAGTTCGCTAGCTCAGCAGTTCCCTAGCTCAGCAGTTCACTAGCTCAGCAGTTCACTAGCTCAGCAGTTCCCTAGCTCAGCAGTTCACTAGCTCAGCAGTTCACTAGCTCAGCAGTTCACTAGCTCAGCAGTTCACTAGCTCAGCAGTTCACTAGCTCAGCAGTTCACTAGCTCAGCAGTTTACTAGCTCAGCAGTTCCCTAGCTCAGCAGTTCCCTAGCTCAGCAGTTCACTAGCTCAGCAGTTCACTAGCTCAGCAGTTCACTAGCTCAGCAGTTCCCTAGCTCAGCAGTTCACTAGCTCAGCAGTTCCTTAGCTCAGCAGTTCACTAGCTCAGCAGTTCCCTAGCTCAGCAGTTCACTAGCTCAGCAGTTCACTAGCTCAGCAGTTCACTAGCTCAGCAGTTCACTTGCTCAGCAGTTCCCTAGCTCAGCAGTTCACTAGCTCAGCAGTTCCCTAGCTCAGCAGTTCCCTAGCTCAGCAGTTCACTAGCTCAGCAGTTCCCTAGCTCAGCAGTTCACTAGCTCAGCAGTTCACTAGCTCAGCAGTTCACTAGCTCAGCAGTTCACTAGCTCAGCAGTTCACTAGCTCAGCAGTTCACTAGCTCAGCAGTTCCCTAGCTCAGCAGTTCACTAGCTGATAATGAGCAATCTCCGACCTATATAATCGTTATACCCTGCATGGTCTATAACAATTATATAGGTCGGAGATTTTGTTTGAAGTAATGCTTATTGTTGTAATGGCCCATGAAAGATTTAGTAAGTGATCAGGTAGTTACTATGATTGAGGCAGTGATCAGGTAGTCTTATTATGATTTAGTATTTATATATTACTCATTCTATTCTTGAACATTAAGATCAAATGCAAGTTTATTCAATTATAAAAGCTACATAGTAATCCAGCTACTTCTCACCCAAATAAGGAATCAGCTGATCTTGGCTTCTCCGTGCTTGTTTTCTATAATAATGGTGAAATGTAACACATACTTGCTCTTTACGTCACTTTAGAGAGGGGGTCTGTTGGGCTGCACGACAAAGGGGGGGCCTCCCGTTTGTTGATTTAACAGTGACCGTGTGGAGCCATCCCTCCGAAACACTCACTCAACAACGCTATGGTTCAGGATAGCTCACTTGACATCACGTTCTGTTCTATGCTGTTGGTCAAACTGTTTCTTTTTGGAATTCCTTGTAGTGCGGCCTTCCTTTTGGACTTTTCTCAAGAGATTTTCTGATTTGACTGGCCATGATTTCCATTTTGTTTTGTCCTGTTGGCGGTTGTTTGTTTGGGGACCGGTTTTTTTATACCCGGCCAATGTTTACAAAATAATATAATACATAACAATATACTTTTATTCAATATGCGTGAATATGAAAATTGAAAATGTTGATTACGTCTATTCATTAAAAACAAAAACAGAAACTTTAAAAATTAAAACTTGTATATCATGATTTATTAACATATAGTGACAAATAATTTGATTTGATACGACAGATGATCACACGCACTGTTTTATAAGCTACTTGAGGTTAAAACAAAAAAGAATAACTGAGCCCATGTCTTATCAGCACCTGCTAGCGCTATCTATATGATGCGGTAAAAGTTTAGTTTGTCTGAGAAATGTAATTTCAGGTTCTTTAGGGTCTGCCCACACTACGCCTTACATCGTTAACTGGCAGTTTAATGTGGTGCAAGTTCTTAAAATTAATTTCATGTTTGAAGCGTCTGATGTCAGAGTATACAATATACATGTATTACAAACTCCACTCTGATGTCAGAGTATACATGTATTACAAACTCCACGTCTGATGTCAGAGTATACATGTATTACAAACTCCACGTCTGATGTCAGAGTATACATGTATTACAAACTCCACGTCTGATGTCAGAGTATACATGTATTACAAACTCCACTTTTGATGTCAGAGTATACATGTATTACAAACTCCACGTCTGATGTCAGAGTATACATGTATTACAAACTCCACGTCTGATGTCAGAGTATACATGTATTACAAACTCCACGTCTGATGTCAGAGTATACATGTATTACAAACTCCACGTCTGATGTCAGAGTATACATGTATTACAAACTCCACGTCTGATGTCAGAGTATACATGTATTACAAACTCCACGTCTGATGTCAGAGTATACATGTATTACAAACTCCACGTCTGATGTCAGAGTATACATGTATTACAAACTCCACGTCTGATGTCAGAGTATACATGTATTACAAACTCCACGTCTGATGTCAGAGTATACATGTATTACAAACTCCACGTCTGATGTCAGAGTATACATGTATTACAAACTCCACGTCTGATGTCAGAGTATACATGTATTACAAACTCCACGTCTGATGTCAGAGTATACATGTATTACAAACTCCACGTCTGATGTCAGAGTATACATGTATTACAAACTCCACGTCTGATGTCAGAGTATACATGTATTACAAACTCCACGTCTGATGTCAGAGTATACATGTATTACAAACTCCACGTCTGATGTCAGAGTATACATGTATTACAAACTCCACGTCTGATGTCAGAGTATACATGTATTACAAACTCCACTTTTGATGTCAGAGTATACATGTATTACAAACTCCACGTCTGATGTCAGAGTATACATGTATTACAAACTCCACGTCTGATGTCAGAGTATACATGTATTACAAACTCCACGTCTGATGTCAGAGTATACATGTATTACAAACTCCACGTCTGATGTCAGAGTATACATGTATTACAAACTCCACGTCTGATGTCAGAGTATACATGTATTACAAACTCCACTTTTGACCTATTTGACGGCCACGTATTATTTTCATAATCATACCGGCTTTTTTCCCAGGGAGTGCGATAACAAAACTAATTGCACTGCTTTTTTAGAGCCCTCTCAACAGCTGCTCTACTATTATGAGGTACTGATTTAAATATTGATTTAAATCAGTAACCTGGGGTAGTTTATGTTCAACAGTGCAATGATCGGATTAATTTTCAAATATACTTATAATAAAATAGAAAATTTTCTCAAACAGTTCCATTTTTATTACACTTTATAGTTTAGAGCCTAATTTGGCATGATATCAGATCATGTGATATTACATGGCACAGTATGATGCAAGGGCAGATTTATCACGGTGTTGGGGACTTGTCTCCTTATCAGTAACACGGTGAGTACACTCCAGAAATCAAAATATCAGTTGCTCAGTGCTCTCAAAACAGTGCAATTACACTGTTTTAGTCGGTGCGATTATAAACTAATTGCACTGATTATAACATCAGAAACGTGGAGTTATATGCAAATCTAACTGTTCGTATAATGCGATTACACCAGTTATTACACTCGGCTGCGCCTCGTGAAATAACTGCAATAATCGAACTCGGCTTCGCCTCGTGCAATTATTGTATCAATTTGCACTCGGCTGCTCCTCGTGCAAATTGATACAATAATTAATAGTGTAATCGCATTATACGCAGTTAGATTAGCGTATATAATTATATGCAGTTAAATTAGCGTATATAATTATACGCAGTTAAATTAGCGTATATAATTATACGCAATTAAATTAGCGTATATAATTATACGCAGTTAAATTAGCGTATATAATTATACGCAGTTAAATTAGCGTATATAATTATACGCAGTTAAATTAGCGTATATAATTCTCTTATTTTAACATGTAATGTATATATATAATGTGCAGGAATGGACGAGATCTGCGAGGACCCAGTATTCTGCTACCTAAACATATCGGGACACATCTTCAAAACCCGGCACAGCACCCTGAATCAGTTCCCTGGTACACTGCTGGGCTCTAATGAGAAGGAAACTTACTACAACAAGGAGCGTAATATGTACTGCTTCTACAGAGACAGACAGTCTTTCGATTCAATTCTCTACTACTTTCAATCAGGGGGAGTGCTCAGGAAACCCCCTAATGTCAGCGAAGAGATTTTCAACAGAGAAGTGGTCTTCTTCAAGATCAGAAACCACAGAACCAAGAACGGGGTGATGCAGTCCACCAACCCCAAAGTGAAGGGGCTAAAACGAATACTCAGTCAGAAGCCCACAGAGTACATGCACTATCAGAAACTGTTGCGGATACAGATAATAGACCTGGCCGTGACAATACTGTTCGTGATGGCGGTAGTGTGCGAGCAGATCATACAGCCCAATGCTAGGGACCAAAACCCACAGGAGAGACTCCAACAGTTATCAGGCTCGTGGAAGAACCTAGACACTCCTTTAAAAATAATAATGTCAGTAGAGACGCTCTGCACTTTGTGGATCACCACCTTTCTCATCATGAGGTTTTATTGGTCAGAGGACAGGAAGAAGTTTGCAAAGTCGTTCATGGCAATAATGGACGCATTTGTGGTTCTGTCCTACTTCGTGACCCTGATACTGTTTGAGCTAGAAGCGTACCTTGAAGAGCAGTCAGGAGGGGAGTACGACCAGCACAGGATCTACAACATCTACCGGGTCATGGCCTGTCTCAGGATGATCAAACTATTCAGAATGGTACATGTGTTTAACTTGGCCAGGTATAACGCGCTATTTTTCTCTCTTGGCATGGCCGTCAAGAACAGCTTCTCGGATCTCCTCGTCATCTTCATATTCATCTTCTTCTGCGTAGTGACTTATGCCACCATCATGTTCTGGGTGGAGTTTGATTTCCGCTTAGACCACCATGGTGTTCCAAACTCTTCATCAGACAAGATAATTTACACTCAGCTCATAAACACCATCGCAGACTCCACCATCAGACACCTTGTCAATACCACAGGGACCTATTCTCTAGTGCTGGATAACTGCACCATATTCCCCAACATAAGGTTACTGGACCTCAGTCCAAACAGCACTTCAGTGAGGTTCATGAGGAACATTATGACCAACACTTCCAGCTCCTACAACATATTCCTACAGCTGGATGAGAACTGCTCTGTTGCTCTGAACATGACAGAGGATGCAGACATGTCCGCCAAGTTTGATAGTGTGTTTAGCTGTATGTGGTGGAGTCTTGTTACCATAACAACCGTGGGGTACGGTGACATGGTGCCCACCTCAACTGTAGGTAAGTTTGATAGTGTGTTTAGCTGTATGTGGTGGAGTCTTGTTACCATAACAACGGTGGGGTACGGTGACATGGTGCCCACCTCAACTGTAGGTAAGTTTGATAGTGTGTTTAGCTGTATGTGGTGGAGTCTTGTTACCATAACAACCGTGGGGTACGGTGACATGGTGCCCACCTCAACTGTAGGTAAGTTTGATAGTGTGTTTAGCTGTATGTGGTGGAGTCTTGTTACCATAACAACCGTGGGGTACGGTGACATGGTGCCCACCTCAACTGTAGGTAAGTTTGATAGTGTGTTTAGCTGTATGTGGTGGAGTCTTGTTACCATAACAACCGTGGGGTACGGTGACATGGTGCCCACCTCAACTGTAGGTAAGTTTGATAGTGTGTTTAGCTGTATGTGGTGGAGTCTTGTTACCATAACAACGGTGGGGTACGGTGACATGGTGCCCACCTCAACTGTAGGTTAGAACAATCTAAATTATTGAAAATATATTTATCACGCTGTGTCACGAAAAAGTGATCGAAAAGCAAGCTACTTCCCAGAGTTGAATTTTGCACCATCTAAATGTTCATTGTTTAGTTGTTATAAGAGTGTTATATATATAATTATATATTATAAAGCTAACAGCACCTCCCCGACAGGTAAGGTGATAGGAGCGTGCTGCGCTTGTAGCGGAGTCCCACTCATTGCCATCCCCCTGCCTATCATATCACAGAAGTTCGACGTGTACTACAGGCGGTACTGTAAGAGAATGGAGAGGAGGAACAACAAGGGGGAAACTGAGCGGCTCAGCTCAAAGTGGCAGATGTATCTTGACAGACCCTTCTTTGATACTGAAGCGTACATGAAGGACGTAGTGAATGATGCAGGACCAGCCTGGGCTGCCAAGTCTGCAAGGGCTGTTGATGTGTAATAGGCTACCAAGTCTGCCAGGGCTGTTGATTGTAATAGGCTACCAAGTCTGCCAGGACTGTTGATGTGTAATAGGCTACCAAGTCTGCCAAGGCTGTCGATTGTAATATGCTACTAAGTCTGCCAGGGTTGTTGATGTGTAAAAGGCTACCAAGTCTGCCAGGGTTGTTGATTGTAATAGGCTACCAAGTCTGCCAGGGTTGTTGATTGTAATAGGCTACCAAGTCTGCCAGGGTTGTTGATGTGTAATAGGCTACCAAGTCTGCCAGGGCTGTTGATTGTAATAGGCTACCAAGTCTGCCAGGGTTGTTGATTGTAATAGGCTACCAAGTCTGCCAGGACTGTTGATGTGTAATAAGCTACCAAGTCTGCCAGGGTTGTTGATGTGTAATAGGCTACCAAGTCTGCCAGGGTTGTTGATGTGTAATAGGCTACCAAGTCTGCCAGGGCTGTTGATTGTAATAGGCTACCAAATCTGCCAGGGTTGTTGATTGTAATAGGCTACCAAGTCTGCCAGGGTTGTTGATTGTAATAGGCTACCAAGTCTGCCAGGGTTGTTGATGTGTAATAGGCTACCAAGTCTTCAGCTTCCAAGGTTGTTGATTGTTATAGGCTACCAAGTCTGCCAGGACTGTTGATTGTAATAGGCTACCAAGTCTGCCAGGGTTGTTGATGTGTAATAGGCTACCAAGTCTGCCAGGGCTGTTGATTGTAATAGGCTACCAAGTCTGCCAGGGTTGTTGATTGTAATAGGCTACTAAGTCTGCCAGGGTTGTTGATTGTAATAGGCTACCAAGTCTGCCAGGGTTGTTGATGTGTAATAGGCTACCAAGTCTGCCAGGGTTGTTGATTGTAATAGGCTACCAAGTCTGCCAGGACTGTTGATGTGTAATAGGCTACCAAGTCTGCCAAGGCTGTCGATTGTAATATGCTACTAAGTCTGCCAGGGTTGTTGATGTGTAAAAGGCTACCAAGTCTGCCAGGGTTGTTGATTGTAATAGGCTACCAAGTCTGCCAGGGTTGTTGATTGTAATAGGCTACCAAGTCTGCCAGGGTTGTTGATGTGTAATAGGCTACCAAGTCTGCCAGGGCTGTTGATTGTAATAGGCTACCAAGTCTGCCAGGGTTGTTGATTGTAATAGGCTACCAAGTCTGCCAGGACTGTTGATGTGTAATAAGCTACCAAGTCTGCCAGGGTTGTTGATGTGTAATAGGCTACCAAGTCTGCCAGGGTTGTTGATGTGTAATAGGCTACCAAGTCTGCCAGGGCTGTTGATTGTAATAGGCTACCAAATCTGCCAGGGTTGTTGATTGTAATAGGCTACCAAGTCTGCCAGGGTTGTTGATTGTAATAGGCTACCAAGTCTGCCAGGGTTGTTGATGTGTAATAGGCTACCAAGTCTTCAGCTTCCAAGGTTGTTGATTGTTATAGGCTACCAAGTCTGCCAGGACTGTTGATTGTAATAGGCTACCAAGTCTGCCAGGGTTGTTGATGTGTAATAGGCTACCAAGTCTGCCAGGGCTGTTGATTGTAATAGGCTACCAAGTCTGCCAGGGTTGTTGATTGTAATAGGCTACTAAGTCTGCCAGGGTTGTTGATTGTAATAGGCTACCAAGTCTGCCAGGGTTGTTGATGTGTAATAGGCTACCAAGTCTGCCAGGGTTGTTGATTGTAATAGGCTACCAAGTCTGCCAGGGTTGTTGATGTGTAATAGGCTACCAAGTCTGCCAGGGTTGTTGATGTGTAATAGGCTACCAAGTCTGCCAGGGCTGTTGATTGTAATAGGCTACCAAATCTGCCAGGGTTGTTGATTGTAATAGGCTACCAAGTCTGCCAGGGTTGTTGATGTGTAATAGGCTACCAAGTCTGCCAGGGTTGTTGATGTGTAATAGGCTACCAAGTCTTCCAAGGTTGTTGATTGTTATAGGCTACCAAGTCTGCCAGGACTGTTGATTGTAATAGGCTACCAAGTCTGCCAGGGTTGTTGATGTGTAATAGGCTACCAAGTCTGCCAGGGTTGTTGATGTGTAATAGGCTACCAAGTCTGCCAGGGCTGTTGATTGTAATAGGCTACCAAATCTGCCAGGGTTGTTGATTGTAATAGGCTACCAAGTCTGCCAGGGTTGTTGATGTGTAATAGGCTACCAAGTCTTCAGCTTCCAAGGTTGTTGATTGTTATATGCTACCAAGTCTGCCAGGACTGTTGATTGTAATAGGCTACCAAGTCTGCCAGGGTTGTTGATGTGTAATAGGCTACCAAGTATGCCAGGGTTGTAATAGGCTACCAAGTCTGCCAGGACTGTTGATTGTAATAGGCTACCAAGTCTGCCAGGGCTGTTGATTGTAATAGGCTACCAAATCTGCCAGGGTTGTTGATTGTAATAGGCTACCAAGTCTGCCAGGGTTGTTGATGTGTAATAGGCTACCAAGTCTGCCAGGGCTGTTGATTGTAATAGGCTACCAAATCTGCCAGGGTTGTTGATTGTAATAGGCTACCAAGTCTGCCAGGGTTGTTGATGTGTAATAGGCTACCAAGTCTGCCAGGGTTGTTGATGTGTAATAGGCTACCAAGTCTTCCAAGGTTGTTGATTGTTATAGGCTACCAAGTCTGCCAGGACTGTTGATTGTAATAGGCTACCAAGTCTGCCAGGACTGTTGATTGTAATGGGCTACCAAGTCTGCCAGGGTTGTTGATGTGTAATAGGCTACCAAGTCTGCCAGGGTTGTTGATGTGTAATAGGCTACCAAGTCTGCCAGGGCTGTTGATTGTAATAGGCTACCAAATCTGCCAGGGTTGTTGATTGTAATAGGCTACCAAGTCTGCCAGGGTTGTTGATGTGTAATAGGCTACCAAATCTGCCAGGGTTGTTGATGTGTAATAGGCTACCAAGTCTTCCAAGGTTGTTGATTGTTATAGGCTACCAAGTCTGCCAGGACTGTTGATTGTAATAGGCTACCAAGTCTGCCAGGACTGTTGATTGTAATGGGCTACCAAGTCTGCCAGGGTTGTTGATGTGTAATAGGCTACCAAGTCTGCCAGGGTTGTTGATGTGTAATAGGCTACCAAGTCTGCCAGGGTTGTTGATGTGTAATAGGCTACCAAGTCTGCCAGGGTTGTAATAGGCTACCAAGTCTGCCAGGACTGTTGATTGTAATAGGCTACCAAGTCTGCCAGGACTGTTGATGTTTAATAGGCTACCAAGTCTTCCAGGGTTGTTGATTGTTATAGGCTACCAAGTCTGCCAGGACTGTTGATTGTAATAGGCTACCAAGTCTGCCAGGGTTGTTGATGTGTAATAGGCTACCAAGTCTGCCAGGGTTATAATAGGCTACCAAGTCTGCCAGGACTGTTGATTGTAATAGGCTACCAAGTCTGCCAGGACTGTTGATTGTAATAGGCTACCAAGTCTGCCAGGACTGTTGATTGTAATAGGCTACCAAGTCTGCCAGGGCTGTTGATTGTAATAGGCTTCCAAGTCTGCCAGGACTGTTGATTGTAATAGGCTACCAAGTCTGCCAGGGTTGTTGATGTGTAATAGGCTACCAAGTCTGCCAGGGCTGTTGATTGTATTTGTAATAGGCTACCAAGTCTGCCAGGACTGTTGATTGTAATAGGCTACCAAGTCTGCCAGGACTGTTGATTGTAATAGGCTACCAAGTCTGCCAGGACTGTTGATTGTAATAGGCTACCAAGTCTGCCAGGGTTGTTGATTGTAATAGGCTACCAAGTCTGCCAGGGTTGTTGATTGTAAAAGGCTACCAAGTCTGCCAGGGTTGTTGATTGTAATAGGCTACCAAGTCTGCCAGGGCTGTTGATTGTAATAGGCTGCCAAATCTGCCAGGACTGTTGATGTGTAGAAGCAATAATGTTTTTATTTTTCAGATCTGAACCTACATTTTTTATCTAATTTATAAATATTTTATCAAGGCATAATTATCGGTCTTCAATCGTACGTTTTGATTAAAGTGGAACATTAATGTTTATTAAGTCACAATTTCTCGACAATTAAGTTTTGAACACATTTAGTCGACACTTTGCACATAACTTTACACATAGCAAATAGCATGAACAATCAACATCATACGATTAAGGTAACAATTTTAGCTATAATATAATTATTGTAAATTTAAAATTAATACTTGAGCAACTCATTAGTAATTGTTAATCGATGTATTTTACAATTTTTTGCTTAATTCTCAGCATGACCAAAATCAAGTCTCTTTAAATTTAATGTCCAATAATTTTTTTCTTAATAAAATGATATTTAGATTTGGGATATCCATATTTGCACAACTCGTCAGATAAATAAATGTAACACATAACATATCTTTAGTACTTAGCAAATGTCTAAATCGCTCTCCAACAATTTACCAGACCGATTTAACCTAAATTTTAGCATCTACTGAGGATCAGTGCTAAAACCAAAAAATCCCAAATATGCGTGCTCCTTTATAATATACCTTTGTAACCCCGTGATGCCGTGTTAGGTTTAAGTTTTAATAGGGTGTTAAAAATAAATGAGCCCTGATAACAGATACTCGTACGAGCCCTGACCTGCTCACAGGAACTAGTACATTATTAAATTAACAGATTAACGGACATAAGATGGCTGACAACGAGGAAAAAAGCAATAAATTATTCCTATATTAAACATGTTATAGGAATATATATGTTAAAGGAAAACGTAAGAATAAATTGTATTTCTCCGACTATGAATAAGAGTAAGAGGTCGTTAAATGAAGATTAGCGTTTATCGTTGAGTGCTAAGTATCCCTCCAAATCAGCTGGTCCTACTGTTGCCATGGTTACAATAATTGACATGCTCTAACTTAATTATGCGGAGTCACACGCCTCTCAGAGCCCAGCTTCAATTCTTTAGTTCTTTTTCTAGTTCATTAGGTAATGACTATTACTTGATTCCCAGTCTAAACACGCTCGAAATAAGGAACCCGCAGTTCGTCTCATGATGTTTACATGTTGGTTACATGTTCGTTACATGTTGGTTACATCATGTTGACTGCGTGCTTTCATTCAGCTCATGCCAATGGCAACATCATAAAACATTTCTGTCAGGATCCTTTGAGGACTGTTATTTTGTTTCCACTTTTGTTTCAGTTATATAAGGCGTTATATTAGGCGTGTCACTTATCGTCGTTTTTTGCCGTAGATCTTTTGTTTCATCATAGCCTCTTGGTTCTGTTTAGCTATCTTCTCCGCCCTCTGCCAACTGGGGATCTGGTACTTGGTGAGTTCAGGGGTCGGCTGCTCTTCAGCTCTATCTAGTTCCCCTGAAGTGACAACTTTTTCCAAAGGGGTAACTAATGAGGACATGGTGGGTTGTCGGTATAGTTTGTTACGATGAGTTTTAGATCTATTGTCCAATTTCTCCATAGAAACCTGTGAAACAAACTTTCTGCCTTTTGTTAACTCTTCAATTTGATCATGGCTCTCTGTTTCATCGTGCTTAGATTCGACAGTTTCTTTAGCTTTTATCTTGAGCTGATTCAATTTGGCGACAAGTCTGAAATTTCCCCTAGTAATGGCTTGGTGGGCCTCCTTCTCCTCCGTGGACAAAGATACTCTAACCTTGGACAACTGTCTCCTAATCTGAGTGTTCTTCCTAATTGCAGCCCTCATGTTGTAAGGAGTCGGCTCCGGCGCGGGACCTTTCCTTGTTTCCATGGTTACCTGCCTGTAGTTTATTAGCGCACCTTTATTATTATCAAATCAAAATGGCTAATTGATAGTAGATACAATCTTCTTTTTTTTTAATTAAAAAAATTGAATATCATTATTTGCGGATAAGTAATGAAAGAAATATCAAAACACGATATTTTAGATATCTAAAATCAAATATTTAAAATCAGATATCTAAAATCAGATGTCTAAAATCAAATTATATCTAAATTCAGATATCTAAAATTAGATATCTAAAATCAGATATCTAAAATCAAATATCTAAAATCAGATATCTAAAATCAAATATCTAAAATCAGATATCTAAAATCAAATATCTAAAAACAGATATCTAAAATCAGATATAAGCAATGGCTTAAACATTGAAAATAATCTACATTTGACAAGTACAGAATAATAATAAGATCACATGCATCCAAGCATCTTAATTTTATGCAACTATTTTCGACAGTATGGTCAAATATTTCCGTCTTAATTCAAAACACAGGAAACATGTTTAGCAGGGTGTAGTAACATGTTTGGTATGTCACGAACACCGCAAATATGCAAATATGCAAATAAAATCAAAACACGACTGTTTAAGGAGACTGTGACGGTTTTAAACATTTCTGATTATTGGTTATTTAAAAAAAATACAAATTTACATATTGACTTATTTACTATTGAGGAGTATGTGCCAACTTGAGACTATTCTTCACAGCACGTATTGAGGAGTGTGTGCCAACTTGAGACTATCCTTCACAGCACGTATTGAGGAGTATGTGCCAACTTGAGACTATCCTTCACAGCACGTATTGAGGAGTATGTGCCAACTTGAGACTATCCTTCACAGCACGTATTGAGGAGTATGTGCCAACTTGAGACTATCCTTCACAGCACGTATTGAGAAATATGTGCCAACTTGAGACTATCCTTCACAGCACGTATTGAGGAGTATGTGCCAACTTGAGACTATCCTTCACAGCACGTATTGAAGGGTATGTGCCAACTTGAGACTATCCTTCACAGCACGTATTGAAGAGTATGTGCCAACTTGAGACTATCCTTCACAGCACGTATTGAGGAGTATGTGCCAACTTGAGACTATCCTTCACAGCACGTATTGAGGAGTATGTGC